TTTGTTTTTTGTTTTGCTTTGCTTTTACAATTTAAAAAAATGTTTGACTGTGAACGCCCTCTATGCAGTGGACTTTATCACTCGTGTGTGTGTGTGTGTGTGTGTGTGTGTGTGTGTGTGTGNGCAGTCTTTTCTCAGGACATGTGGTCCAAGCTCTGACTGTCCAGTGGTGGGGAGGAGCATTGAGGCTAGGTGTTAGGGCAGCACTCTTGGTAAGTACTCTTAGCTTTGGGGTGATTCACCCTGGCCAGCACAACTGCTGATGAGAACATTCAAGAACCTTTCATAACTTCCACGGTGTCCGCTTCTGTTCATGGGCTCTGCCTGCCTCTGTGTGACTGGCTTCCCTCTTCTCTTTATCCTTCTCAAAGCATTTTCACTTCCATTCTCACTTTTAATCCTCGAGATCCCTAAGCACAGTCCAGGCAGGTGTGATTAGTCTCAGGGTAACGACAGAGGCTCCAAGAAAAGTGATTTCAGCAAAGTCACAGGCAGGAAGGACAAGAGCTTCAACCATTTCCAAGACAAGTCCCCACTTCTGGTCAGGATGCTGTTCAACAGAATCATGGATTTAAAGCATCAGGCACCATGCTGAACACTTTACTCACCTGGACTGGTTTCATCTTCACAACAACCCAACGATGTGGGTTGGATTCTCAAAACCTTCTTTTTTAGATGCGTCAAGTGAGGCACAATGAAGCTAAATAACATGCCTAAGATCACACACCTATTAAGTAGCAGAGTTGGGATTTGAATCTTGCTGGTTTGGCTGGTCCTTGCCCTTGTGCTGCCCCATCTAGACTGAGCTAAAAATAGCTGGAGAAGAGCAGGCCAAGGTGAGGGCCCCGGTGACACTCCTAAGAGACACGGACCCACTGACTCTGCAGTCAGCCGCGGGACGGGATGATAAAGGTGGACGGCTCTGACCGTAGTCACATTCCGAGCTTTGCCTGCACTGTCACGGTTACCCTCTCAGCTTTGGAACAATGTGTCACCTACGCCCTTTGAGCGCTGGGTTTCGCCATTATGTGGAGAATCTTGCTGAGTGTGATGGGGAAGAAGAATACGGAGGAGGAGAAAGGCTTAGGTTTCCTTCTCTCTTCCTCGGGTCGCCTCCAGGCCACCCTGAAATTCACCAACAGCCAGAGGAAGCAGAGCAGCTCTCCTGATGCTCTGAGGGTACAGGCTGAGCCTGGTGCGCTGGTCTACCCCCTGACCGGCCTAGGGCCCACGAGGACAAGAGAGTGACTCCTCCAGAATCTGGGTTTCAAAGAGACCTCAGAGGCCGTCTTGCCCACGCTTCCAGCCCTGGGGTCCTTTGTCTCTCCTGTGTCTCAGACAGGGGGCTGCCCAGCATCTGTGGGAACACAATTTCCCAAGGCGGCCTTCTTGGGGATGTTGTTAATGAAGACGAAGGCAGTCATGTTGAAGATGATATTGATGTCGATGATGACAGCAATGGAGATGATGATGGTGGTGATGATGGTGATGTGATGATGATAACAGTTTATCACTCATGGAATGCATATCTTTCATCCAACTGAGGGAGAAAGATAAATTCCCCAAAGTGGAAATAGGCCAGGTCAACGAGTATGAAAGTTGAAGATTGTTTTCTTTGGTTTAGTCCTTATAATCATCCTTCAGAGAAGAAATTATCTCTACTTCAGCGATGAGGAAAATGAAGCTCAGTAAGAAATTTGCTTGAAATCATAGAGGCAGTGATGGTAGAATTGAGATTACATATTGGTCAATTTATTTCATAGTCCACATTCATTTCATTGATTGTTTCATTCATTAATTTGTCTTTCCATTCATTCATCCATGTAATTATTTATTGAGCACCTTCCATTTCTCATGCTCTGTGCTACGAGAAGCCTTGTTGCTGTTGACAGTTCTTCTTTGTGCTGATCAGGGGATTTTACTGTTTGGGATCCTCCCTCCGGACCAAACAGAATTTTGTGTCTTCCATGAGATATTTGTCTTCTCTAAGACAGTTCTTCAGCTGTTTGAAGAACTTTTAAATTAAAATTTTTAAATTGAGGAAACACACACATACATATGGGCTTCCCAGATAGCTCAGTGTCAATGGTAAAGAATCTGCTTGCCAATGTGGGAGCCTCAGGAGACGCAGGTTCAATCCCCGGGTCAGGAAGATTCCCTGGAGAAGGAAATGGCAACCCACTCCAGTATTCTTTGCCTGGAAAATCCCATGGACAGAGGAGCCTAGCAAGCTATAGTCCCTACGGTCGCAAAGAGTTGGACGTGGCTGAGCACGCACACACACACATAGAATATTATATATATATTCTATATATATAGCACAAAACTCATAAAGGTAAAGCATGTTGAATTTTTACAAATGTGCATGCTTGTGTAACCACCATTCAGAACAGGACATGGAACATTTCTAACCTCCAGAAAGTTCCTTCACTCTCCTTCTCAGAGGTAATAGCCCTCCTAATTCTATCACCATACTTTAGTTTTTTGCTCTTGAACTTCATATAAATGGAATTATATAACACATTTGTGTGTCTAACTTCTCTTTCACTCAACATTATATCCAAGAGATTTACCTATTTGTGACTTGTTACATAGTTTGTTCATTTTTATTATTTGTGTATTATTGCATTTTATAAATATATCACCCTTTGTTTAACCATTCTATTGTTGATGGACTTTGGCGTTATTTCAGTTATTATGGATAAAGATGCTACAGACCTTGTACGTATCTTTAGATGAACACATGCACTCATTTATCTTGGATTTATAACTGGAAATAGAATCACTGAGTCATAAGGTGGGCTTATGTTTAGTTACCAGGGCTTGTACCAGTTTACACTCTCAGCAGCAATGTATAGGGCTTCCCTGGTGGCCTAGTGGTAAATAATCGCTTACAATGCAGGAGATGGCCTGCAATGCAGTAGACCCAGTTTCGATTCCTGGGTCAGGAAGATATGCTGAAAGGGCAGCCCACTCCAGTATTCTTGCCTGGAAAATCCCATGGACAGAGGAGCCTGGAGGGCTCTAGTCCATGGGGTTGCAAGAGTTGGACAAAACTTAGTGATTAAACTACCACCACCACCAGTAATGATGAGACTGCCAATCGCTCCACATTCTTGAAAATACTGAGTATTTGTCCATCCTTTTAATTTTAGGCATTCTGGTGCATATATGGTAGTGTCTTATTACATTTTAATTTGCATTTCTCTTATGAATAATGACATTGAGTTTTTTTCCATTTGAATATCCTCATTTATGACATGCCTATTTAAGTATTTTGTCCATTTTTCAACTTGTTCAGTTCAGTTTAGTTGCTTAGTCGTGTCCGACTCTTTGTGATCCCACGAATNGCCATGATCTTAGTTTTCTGAATATTGAGCTTTAAGCCAACTTTTCACTCTCCTCTTTCACTTTCATCAAGAGACTCTTTAGTTCTTCTTCACTTTCTGCCATAATGGTGGTGTCATCTGAATATCTGAGGTTATTGATATTTCTCCCAACAATCTTGATTCCAGCTTGTGCTTTTCCAGCCCAGCGTTTCTCATGATGTACTCTGAATTTAAGTTAAATAAGCAGGGTGACAATATACAGCCTTGACGTATTCCTTTTCCTATTTGGAACCAGTCTGTTGTTCCATGTTCAACTTGATTGAGACGTAATTAACAATAAAATGAATATACTTTACGCGTGTTGTTTGATGCATATTGACAAATATATACATCCTTGTAACCTCTTGCAACATTCATATACAGGGTATTTAAATGATCCTACAAAAGTTCCATGTACCCCTTCCCAGGGAATTCCCCCTAACTTCAACCCTAGACAACCAAGATCTGCTTTCTGTTAGAACAGATTAGAGTTCACCTAACTGTCATTACTTACTGTGTAGTAATTTTTGTCTGATTTCTTTTGCTCAGCATTATGTGCTTGAGATTCATCGGCATTGCATGTCAGTTGTTCATTCTTTTTTATTACTATCACAGAGTAAGATTTCACTGTAGAGATATACCACATTTTAAAAAATCCATTCACTTTTTGATGCATTTAGGTTGTTTCTAGTTTAGGGTTATCATGCATATAGTTGTTGTGAACATATGTGTGCAGGTCTTTGTATGGACATGTTCTTATTTCTCTTGGGTAAATATCTAAACGTTGAATTTCTGGGTCTTATGGTAAGTGTATGTTTACTTTTAAAATGAATTGTTGCCCATTAGAACAATCGTGTGGTCTTTCTTTTTCTTATTAATTTGTGTAATTCTTTACATCTTCTGAACATCTATTCTTTGTTGGCTACAGGTAGACTTCAGAGATATTGTGGATTTGATTTCAGAGCCCAGCAATGAAGCAAATATCACAGTAAAACAAGTCACACCAAGTTTTTGGTTTCCCAGTGCCTATAAGTTACGTTTACCACTATATAGTCTGTTAAGTGTACAATAACGTTATGTCTAAAAAAAGTGCACATACCTTAGTTTAGAAATACATTTTTCTAAAAAAAATTGCTAGCCATCAACTGAGTCTTTGGCAAGTCATAATATTTTTGCAATAGTAACATCAGAGATTACTGATCATAGATAATCATAACAAATATAATAATAATGAAAAAGTTTGAAATATTTTGAGAATTACCAAAATGTGACACGAAGACGAGAGTGAGCNCAAAATGTGACACAAAGACGAGAGTGAGCAAATACAGTTGGGAAAATGGTGCCAACAGACTTGCTTGACACAGGGTTGCCACAAAGCTTCCGTTTGTAAGGGACAAAATATCTGTAAAGCACAATAAAGCAAATTATGATAAAAACAAGGTATTACGGTGGCATGCCCGTGTGTGGATCCCAAATATCTTCTAGTCTGTGGCTTGCCTTTTCATCTTCATGATGGTCTTAATTTTTTATGTTTTTGAAATTTTTATTTGCTTATTTATTTTACTTGCTTATTTTTACTTATTTATTTATTTTGGGCTGTGCTCCTTTCTTTAAACCAGGCAACTTGAGGCCTTTACGTCGTCTCTCATGAGGTGTGGTTTTAGAATTTCCACTGTGCTCCTCATTTTCCTATTGACTCAGTTTGAGAACATCCTTGCATAAGTGCAAACCATACGGGCAACACTTCAGGTCCTGGAGTTATCTCGGGAGGGGTCTAGGAGACGTTTGCAGATCAGAAATCCCTGTGGTGTAGACTGTCAAGAGTGAAGACTTTGGTTATCATAAACGACAGGGAGTCACACAAATGTACTGCTTCCTTTCTCCCCGTCACGGGGACTTTCATCAGAACCAGGAACATCAAAAGAAACCACATCAACAGCAAAGAGAACAAGCTTCAAGGGCACAAAGAGAGGACATCAGTGCCTCTGCCTAAAGGGACTCACTGGCAATTCTGCTTCCCCCATCCCTAGGAAGGGTTAGCCTGAGATCGCCATGGCAATGCCCAGGGGGTCCCAGGAAGTGAGGACTGCAAGGCAGCCCTGTGTAGAGGGCAGAGAGGAAGGTGAGAATCAGGGGCAGGCTCTGAAGAAGATCTTGGCTAGGAGGGCATCCATGTACTGTCCTGGAAAGATCACAGATGGCCGTTGGGAGCCTGGAGCTGGGCTCTGGTGTTGGCATTGTGTAGTGTGTGACCGGGGCTTGTCCCTTTGCCTGCAGGTTCCTCGCCTAAAATAAGCATGCAGCATCAAGTGGGAGACTGTGGTTTCATGGCAGGATTTGATGTGGGTCCGACCCTGGCTTAGAGTCTCAGGGGTTGCAGCAAGTGTTCCGAGAGTCCTCTGTGCTGGGTATCCCTGGTGGAGTTAGCAGGATCCAGGCTTCTCTGAGCCCAAGTAGGATTCAGGGTTCTCTTCTGAGCCTGCCCCCAACTTCTCCTTTCCTCCTCCAGTGTACGAGGTGGTCACAGCCACAGGGGATGTTCGTGGTGCAGGAACAGACGCCAATGTCTTCATCACCATTTTTGGAGAGAATGGGCTCTCTCCCAAGCTCCATCTCACCAGCAAGTGAGTACTGACTCAGCCTTGGTAGGGTCCTGGGTTGATACTGGGGTTGATGCAGTCCTGGAACCCATGAAGGAAGACACATGTGTCCACAGGTATATGAAGTGGCGTGGGCCTTGCTAATGACAGACCACATGCCAGCCAGGTCTCAACCAGGGAAGCTTCTCTGTTGATTTTTGTGTGTATAGTCATGCTTACTTTGGACCCCAGAATTACAAGTATTCATATCAGCTGTCCTTTGGTGTGGGAGAATAAATACTCAGGACCAAGAAAGAAGGTCTAGGTCCAGCTTTACCATCTAGTTGCCATATAAGTTTGGCTAAATATCTTTGCACCCAAAGCCTTGACTTCCTCATATAGCATCCGGAAGTGATAATCCACCTTTTACCAAACTCATAGGACTTTTGGGAAGAGAAGAGAAAGTCATGCATGTGGATCATGTAGGAAGGTCATGCATGAGTTTAAATGCTCTGCACCTATGTCTCAACCAGGACCAATATCATACCAAACCTTGCCCACTAACGCACACTCAAGTCAGTGCGTGTGTTTATATAAATGTGTGTGTGTGTGTGTGTGTGTGTGGGTGAGTGTGCCTGTGTCCTCCATGTCATTGTGGCCCACTGACAGCAGAGACTGCTGTATCTTCTTTTTCCTCCTCTCCCCACATCACGCAGGGGCACACAGGGTTACTACACACGGTAACACTAGAGTGCAATCATGGAATTCCAGAGATGGCTGGGCCTTACCTGGGCAATTGGTTTTCACCCTGTGCTAAATGGAGCAGGGTATGGGTGAGCTGGTTTGGGGCTCCCAATACCCTATCCCCCCTTTCTTTGGAGCAGCTTGGCTTATGATTCTCTTATCTGCTGAGTTTCTCAGTCAGATTCTATTTGCACCAAGGATGCTATAGCCAAGAAAGATTTGAAAGTCACTAAATCCATTCCACCCTGCTGCTGGGAAATCTGGGGTCTAGAGGAGAGAGGTGAGCAGCTTTGGATCATGGAGCTTTTGATGGTAAAGCTGGTCCTTGAACCCCAGGGTCCTGATGCAGATATTCCCTCAAGCACATGACCCCACGGCCCTGGAGAGTGTGCGGGAGTCTCCCCCCGCAGTCCTCCTGGGGCTCCAGCATGTGATCTCTGGGCTTTGTGGCGCCACACCTCCAGGTGTGGTGGGGAAAGCGATAGAAGGGTGGGGTCCACAGGCCAGGAGATCCATAGACTGTACTTAGCAGACCGGCCAGGTCCAGCAGAACACGTTCACCCTGAAGGCTGACCTGGGTGTAAATGCGACTGTGTCGAGGCAGGCGTAACGTGCTATTTTGTCCATTTCCGCAGAACAGGGTACCCGCCTCCTTGTACTGCTTACCCTGCTGAGTGGCTCGCTTGTGGAAGCCCTTTGCTCCAGTGCTGTGGGCACGGTAAAGAGAATACATGAAAATTCCATCCTTTCTGCCACGTGTCCACCCGGAATGTAGACCTCTAGGGAGAAGCTGCTAGACCCTGGGGAGTGGGCTAGCTTGGCTTCTAGAGTCCCTAGCCTGTCTTTTTCTAAACAAAGAATCAGCCCCCTTTTGTGGCGGTTCCTCACCATCTTTCCTCCTCTCATGCTTCTGCATCCTTAGACTCTCCCCTCTCACATTTTTCCTTTGTCAAAACGCCCTCTCAGGAAGGTCCCTGGAGTCAGCTTTTATAGCTGTGTGAAGGTTTGTCACCCTCTCCCTGGGAATCTGAGTTCCAGCTTTGCTTCTCAATGGGGAAGGCAGACTGCATCATGGGAGAGGGTCTCGGGTAGCAGCAAGCTGGCAGGACCAGCAGGTCTCAAAGCAGTGCTGAAACTGCAGGAAGGCAGCCAGCTTTTCTGGGATAGCCCTGCACGTAGGAAGCAACGTCCCCCCATTACTACGTGGGTCTGCTGGTTGAAGGGGGATTCTCTCCTGTATCTGTGTCCTGCTCCAGGCTGGGCATTGGGGGCAGAGATTAGACCAGGACCCCAACCTGGCTGGGGCAGAGGGTTCTTCAGGAGCTCACGGGAAGTGGATGGTTTCTGGGATACAGACACTTTTTGCAGCATCAGCTGTTTGTCTTTGGAGAGGCTAGAGAGGTGATGCCTAGAGGGATGCTAGCTGGAACCGGAGGATGATGGGAGATCTGCCTTGTACCTCCAGCATCTATTGCACTTCTTTGCAAAGAGAGCTCCCTCGATGATTTGGTATCAGTGTGGCTAGATTAGGACTTTACAGGAAGGACATGTAATCTGACCTCGAGGGGTGAAAAGGACTCTGATGAAAAAGGATCAGAAAGAGGATACTTTATTTGAGGGGGGACAGCTTGCAGAAGTATGGAGGCCACAAGGGGAACTGCAGGCCAATGGGGACTGCAAGGAGGGGCAGAGAGGAAGGAGGTAGGAAAGGCAGGGGAGGACTAGACGGGAGAAGGCTTTGCCTGAAAGTCAGTTAGTGGAGATTTGACGTACTGTGCAGCCAAGAAGGATGAATCTGACCATAGTGAGCAGGATAAACAGGGAAGTAGGAGACTAGAGTCTGGCTGCTTTGCAAGGCTGCTTTCAGAGTTCGCAAGACCTGAAAACCTGTCTACAAAGAAAATTGCATAGACACAATCATCACCATCTGAAACCCTTCTGATTCAAGATGGAGAGCTCAAGTCCGGGTGGGAGCGCTGCTTTCCGAGGAAGTCCAGGTTGCCAAGTGACCCAGAAGCGGGTGGCTGCAGAAGTCACAAGCTCTGCGAGGTTTAGATGCAGCTAAGTCCCGCCTGACTTGGCCCTCCCCTTCCACCATCCCGAGGGTCTGGATCAGAATGCCTGCTGGTCTCAAAACTCTCTCCTCTCACTGTCTAGGGCTATCCTCTCCTCTCCACACTGTGTCACCCCAAACCCACATCCACACCCACTTGTCACCTAGAACTGAGCTCTTTTTCCTTGTTTTACACCCACAAGCACACACACATATGTGCACACATATGGACGTGCGCACATACAGACAAAGTACAAAGCTTCCCTGATAGCTCAGTTGGTTAACAATCCGCCTACAGTGCAGGAGACCCCGGTTCGATTCCTGGGTCAGGAAGATGCCCTGGAGAAAGGAAGGGCTACCCACTCTAGTATTCTAGCCTGGAGAATTCCGTGGACTGTATAGTCCATGGGGTCGCAAAGAGTCGGACACGACTGAACCACTTTCACTTCACGAGGCATCTTGGGGTGCATCAGACTTCACTGATAGTTTGGGGCATAAGAGTTCACATGGAGGGAACATAAACAACTTAAAACAGAACGTTAGATAGACCCTCCTCCCAGTTTTAAAACTAAGCCACCACCCTTCCTGGAATTTCTCCTTGAACCCTTTCTCTGCAGCCTCTGGCCGCATCCCTCACCCACCTGCTTCTCCCTCATCCCCTTCTCTCTCCCCTCAGTTCTGCTCTTTTCTGTGGCTTTTCTCCTCTGCCCCAGGCCTTACCTTCTACTGTCCTGTGGCTTATCAGGATTTTTTCATCTCCAGTACAAAGTAATTCCTGCGGCAGGAAGAACTTTGCTGTCTATGTTAACATGCTGATTGTTCTCACCCTCATGGTCTGGGGTCTAAATTCCTCAGCACACATCAGACCCTCTCTTAGGCAGCCAAGAGTGTGACACGCTCACTCTGATTCCCCTGCTAGCTGACCTCTGCCCCACCCTCCACACCAGGAAAGTGACAGCAGCTCTGGACCCCAGAAGAAGCCCCCTTCTCCATCACCCAGGACCACCCCCCAGCATGGGGTCCCATGTTCAGGCTACGGCAAAAGGATGGAAATCTCATGTATCTTCTGGAACACGGTTCTCTTGCTGAGAATTCACCACCCGAGAGTGTGGGAGAATCCTGGCATCTTAGCCTGCCCGGCAGTTAGCTAAAATGCCCTGTGCGCGGCTGGAAAGGGTGGGTTCCCTGCAGGACAGCAGGCGCAGGTGGGGGGCTGTGTTGGGCTTTATTTGAGGATCGACCAGCAACTGTGGAGAACATGCCATTTCCCGCAAGGAAATGTGAAGAGGTCTCTATTGTTTCTGATGTTTCCTTTGACCAGGGACCCTCTGTCCTTTGCTGTCTCCCCTCCACCTTCAGTCAGATTTCTGACTTACTGGAAGCAGGGGATTTGGAGTCTGACTCAGAGTGGTTTGGGGTTGGGGCTCATCTGGGATTGTCCTGGCCCCTCCCTGAGAGGAGGGAGTTCATGTAGCCCAGTCTCTACAATCCTCTGTTCCCCATCCTCTGAACAGAGATCCCAGCAATACAGAAGGCCTTGCTCCTTTTTTACCCCTTTTCTTCTTGGCTGCACTGTATGGCTTGCAAAATCAGAGTTCCTTAACCAGGGATTGAACCCAGGCCCCCCTTGCAGTGGAAGCGCAGAGTTGCAACTGCTGAACAGCCAGGGAATTCCCCAGAAGGCCTTGCTCTTGTCTGCCAGGATGCTGGTCTCCGTTCTGTAAACACTGCGGATGATTGCGTCACATCCTGACATGCCCTAGATGCTCCAGTGTGGTCCAGAGACAGTGAGGAGGGTGCCCTCTGCCCACCTCGGCAGATCTTTCTCTCCTTGTTTCCCTTCTTCTATCTCTGTTTTTAAATTTTGTCTNATGCTCCAGTGTGGTCCAGAGACAGTGAGGAGGGTGCCCTCTGCCCACCTCGGCAGATCTTTCTCTCCTTGTTTCCCTTCTTCTATCTCCGTTTTTAAATTTTGTCTTTTGAGAGACTGTAACGCAGCAAGGAAAAGTACAAACACACTGGAAAAGTACGAATCCACCTTCCACCTGGTTGTATGCACAGGCCCTTTCTGAAGACGCAGAGCTCTCTGTGCTGGATGCAGCTGCTGGAGCCAGAACACTTGTGAGAAGCACCCCAGAAAGCCAGCCGCTTTCTTTCCAAATCACCCTCCTCTTCCCCTGCTAACCGGCACTGGTTGTTCCCCAAATTCCATGTACCCTTAGCAGATGACACTCGGCGATCTTCAAATTCATTCCAAAGAATTTACCATGGGCAGCTAAAATAGGGACTGTGCTTTTTTCATAATTGCAAAAACAAGACGTGCTCCCTTCAGGAAACTGAAAAAATACAGACAAGAATAAGTAACCAACACTTCATAACAGTCTTATCATGCAATGTTTTTGGATAAATCCTCCCCCTCTATTGTTTTTAAATTAACTTGGTGTTCCTTATGTATTGGTTGTTCCGTTTGTACATTCTATTTTTAACCTGTTCTTCCTTTTATGCCCATTTCATAAACCTGTTTCTGCTTCATTGAATATTTTTCACAATAGAATTTTTGATGGCTGCCTAATATTCCATCATATAGCTTCCCGGGTGACTGTTTGATGGGATATTTATATGATGTAGAGACTCCTGTCTATTCCAAAAATCAATTTCCTTGTCTCATATACTGAAACAGAAAATACCTCTTATTTCCTTGTTTTTCATTCACACAGTCCTGATGCCCAGAATCAATATTCACAGAATGCGGGTGGTGTTACTATTCACCCTTGGAGGTGAGATTCTAACAGGTTCAAGCTGCTAGCCTGGGGACAAACCATTTCACTCCAGCACAACCCAAAGTTCCCACCTGTCTCTCCTCCTCCGGCCCAGTGCCCAGAGTAAACCCCTTGGGCTCTTCTCCCTGACAAGGTGACCTCGGTGTACATTTTCACCTGATTTTGTGACCTTTGCACTGCTTTAGGAGGGCCCCATGTCTCACAATGTGCCCACCGAAAGGAAGTTTCTCCCCAGACCAGACTGTTTGCCAACTGGGTCTGTGTGCAGAGCCACAGCTTCTTTGTCTCTAGAATCTTAAAAGCCTTTGGTTACTGAGAGAGTCTGAGCCTTGTTGCCTTGGGGAGAAGGCCCTTCACCTCCCTTTTTATTTTGAAACAGGTGATGGCCAATAAAAAGGCATGTCTTCTTTATTTTTCATTTCCCATGGGCTGTGTGCTGATGCTGAGAGCCCTGGCTGGGAGCACTGAGGGAGGTCCACAGCTCTCAGTCCTGCAAGGCCTTCACCCTGGGGGCAGGAGGAGCTGCGAGCAGGCCTGGACTCAAGCAGAGGGGGTCCTGGCCCACACAGAAGACAGAGCAGATGTCCACGTGAGATTCCGGCTTCCACTCCTGGAGGACTCAGTTCTCCAGCCTTCCTGTGTCTAAGCTGATGGATGCTAGGATACTCCCAAGTCTGAACTTGTTTGGGCACCTCATTGAGAAACATCTCAGGTGTACTTGCTTCTGTTTGCACCGTCTGCAGGATGCCAAATATGCACTCCCTCATTGCCTCCACTTCCCTGATTGCTGGTTTGGGTCGAGTGTTTCCTTTCTTGTTGGAATAGCAGGACTGTGGACCACCACCCAAGGTTTGCATCCACTTGGGGCTGCCTTTGCAACTGTTTCAGCAAGAGCAAGGCAGGTGGGTAGGAGGGGCCAGGAGGCCTGCAGATCCAAGAGCACCATGGCATTATCACACATTCCTTCCTCCTCCATTCTCCCAGCCCAGAGCAACCACAGAGGATTGGATCATGACTTTGGAAAGCCAGTTTCTGGTCCCAACACTACAACCAACTAACAATTTACTTGTTTGTGAAATGGGGCTAAAGTTGCTCACCATCCTTGCCTTACTGATATGCAGCAAAGATCCCATGAGAACCTGGATGTGAAAGCAAGGAATGAATACTAACCATCCTTGCCTTCCACCTCTCCAAACCATGTCAGAAAGGAATCTCAGAATGGAATTGACTGCCAGTAGCACTTCCTGGAGTGGGACGGTGGAGGAAGTAGGATATGCCAGCCCTTGGCTCTCCTCCTGGGACTCTGAGCCACATGCTGATCTCTGTTAACTGTCACACCATTGCAGGAGTGAATCTGCCTTTGAGAAAGCCAACGTTGATGTGTTCCGAGTAAGAACCAACAACGTGGGCCTCATCTACAAAATCAGGTGAGAGCTGGCCTCTGACAGGGCGGGGTGAGATGAAGGCAAGTAGAATAGGAACTGCTTTCATTATTGACAGTTTTGGGTGTTGACTGCTTTCCTGGGGTCATCTGAGTGGTGACCAAAGGTGACCACATCTTCCCCTCTCACCCTGAGTCGTGGTGCTTGTAAACTTGCCCGTTAGAGATTCACTTCTTTGGGTTAAGACAACCTGAGACAATTTTTCACACACTTGGGGGAAATAAGCTCTGAGAAATTCTAGCACAGTGGTTAGTAGACTCTGCATCCAGATTGCCTTGGTTCAACTTTCTGCCCTGCCATTTACCAGCTGTGGAACTTCAGGGAGATTTCCTCTCCAAGCTTCAGTTTCAGCATCTATAATAATGGTGCCCAGCTCCTAGGGCACCATTAGGGTTAGTGAGGACTCAAGAGTCGGTGTTTAGAGCAGTAACTGGTACACAGTAAGCACCCAGTGAGTGTTAGCAATGCCAGGTCATATTGCAGGGTGCCTTTTGACAGAGATCTCCCCTGACTTTGTTCTCTGGGGGAATTTTTATGAATGTGTGGGGAGGGATAAGTCTGCCAGCCTGGTTGCTGAGCAAGAGCTTCAATTGCCCCCTTTGCCCCCCTCCATCTACTACCCATCCCCAATCAAGTTCATGCCCATCTGTCAGCATGTCAAGATCATGTATGGTCTGACTGTACTCAGACTAGAAGGCCTGGACAGGAGTGAAATGCTCCTATCACTCCTTGTTTTTCTTCTCCCCACTGGGAAATATAGGACCGTGAACTCTTTTTACTGGGAAAATAAGGGATGTATAATAGGTTCTGGCACTGGTTGTGTCAGGGGAAAGGGGTTATGAGCAGGAAAGGGATTCTTACAGGGGAAGGCTGGGAAGAATGTGTCAGCCTGTGGGAAAGACAATCACTAAGCTGAAGTCCTACTGTGTGCTGGGCTCCGTACCAGACAGAGGCACGCATTCTGTGTATATCATGTGTGTTAGGGGCTTTCCAGGTGGCACTAGTGGTAAAGAACCCACTTGCCAATGTAGGAGACACAGGAGACACAGGTTCGATCCCTGGGTCAGGTAGATCCCCTGGAGGAGGGCATGGCAACCCATTCCAATGTTCTTGCCTGGAGAGTCCCATGGACAGGGGAACCTGGCAGGCTATAATCCATGGGGTCACAAAGAGTCAGACACGATTTAGTGACTGAGCGTGCACACACACACACACATACACCATCCGTTGGGGTGTGTGCTGTCTTGAGCTGTGGTTGTCCTGTTAAGATCTGCAAGTGTAAGGAAGGCCTGACTGTAATGGAATGCTTGGTGCAGAGTGAGGTCACCCAAGGATCAAGTTCTGGGGAAGAAACTGAGCCTCAAAGAGGAAACCTAGACTGCCAAGGATGGAGCGGACTACAGGAAGTGGAAGGTGATAGGGGCCAGATTTTGAACACTCTGGATCTCTACAGTAGCCCCTGGCCCCACGTAGTATTGATTACTTAAAACATGGCTAACCCAAACCAGGTGCAAAAACAATTCAGATCTTTGAAAAGCTGGCGCAAGATAAAGAATGTAAGATATCTCATTAATAAATGTTTACACGGTTACCCGCTGAAATGATAAATGGATTAAATGAAATATATTATTAAAATTAATTTCACCTCCCCTTTGTTTTCAGTGTGGCTACTAAAAAAATCTAAACTACCTATCTGGCTTGCGCATGAAGCTCATGTGGGAAAACACCAGTCTATGTGGCCATGGGGGCTCCTCTGGGTGGTAGGACTGAGTAGCTGAGCGAAGGGTGTGTTTTGGGAGTCACGGTGAGAGGGAAAGCTCCAGACAGTCCTTCTGCAAGCCTTGGTGATCCTCAATTTTCCATGGAAGGCAATATTTCCTTTATGGGCAATGTAGCAATCCACATTCATCAATAAGCACATCCACCTTGCAAGGAATCCCTGTTTTTCAGATGAGGAAACTGAAGCCTCAGAGATAAAGAAATAACAGAAACACAATGGTTGAGCCTCTGTTCTGAGAAAACATGGGGGGTGTGTCAGTATGGAAGGGGCATTGTCTCTGTCTTACCACTGATGGTGTGGGTGTCTGCCTCTGGCCCAGGATCGAGCACGACAACACAGGCTTGAACGCCAGCTGGTACCTGGACCGTGTGATCGTGACCGACATGAAGCGGCCTCACCTCCGTTACTACTTCAACTGCAACAACTGGCTGAGCAAAGTGGAGGGTGATCGCCAGTGGTGTCGTGACCTGCTGGCCAGCTTCAACCCCATGGACGTTCCGCGAGGTCAGTGTCCAGAGGCTGACTTGCCTGCCATCCCTCCCTGCCTGCGCTGGGCTCACCCAGGCTTCTGCCTTGCTCTGGGCAGCCCCATCGCTCCTTGCCACCTCTCCAGGGTCTTCCTGTTGACTGGGGCACAGGTGAGGCCCCAGCACTTCCTTGTGACCTTTTCGAGAGCAAGTTCTGGGGGCTCACAGCAGCGGAAGATGCAGGAGGCCCTGAAGGCATGGTGGAGGAACAGGCACACCCCTGAGCATAGCCTGTGTTTTCTTGGTCTTGGTGGTTTGTTTAGTCGCTAAGACGTGTCTGACTCTTGCAACCCTGTGGACTGTAGCCCACCAGGCTCCTCTGTCCATGGGATTGTCCAGGCAAGAATACTGGAGTGGGTTGCCATTTCCTCCTCCAGGGGATCTTCCTGACCCAGGAATCAAACCCAGGTCTCCTGCATTGCAGGCAGATTCTTTACCGAGTTATGATCAGCTACTACCTATGCGAAGTTCCCTCTGAGTTCAAAAGCAGCTCTCCCTGGCTTCCTATTCCATAGTTTTTCTTCTGACACTTGAGGAAGGTGAGTTCCAGCCAGGGCATGATGGATCTGGATCACAGCCTGCCGCTTCCAGAGTTCCCCAACTCCTTCTGGTTTTATGAAGAGTGAAGCAACTTATGTCAAATGCATTTCTGGCCCAAAGAGTTAATTCAGTCGTTTTAGCTCTGCAGGAACAATGAGAGGCAGGGAAACAAAGCATGTAAAAACACATCTGTATTCTCTGTCCTATTTTATCATCCCTTTGTCTCCTAAAATCCTGACCCCCTCAACCCCGTCATTGATATATATATATGTCCTCCTTTTCAAAAAAGGAGACCTCACATGTGGGTACCATCATCATAGTATCCTGCCTACATAGAGTCAAGGGCCACCAGAGAGAAAAGGAACTTGGTGGCCAAGGAAACAGAAGTGGCTTTCCCACGGTCACTCAGTAGAACCGCAGAAGGCTAACACACTCCTCCCTCCAGCATGTCCCCAGTGGTTTCCAAGTGCCACCAGCGCTTGCAACTCAGCTGGGCACGTAAACATATCTGTTATTCTAATGGTGATCTCCCAGCTTGAAAACTTGCCCTCTTCCTGTGTAGCTCTCATCACAATAACTTGCAACTTTGATTCTTTTTTTAAAAAAGATATGTTATCCATCTTTTATTACAAAATAAAAATTTGATCATTGCAGAAAATTTAGAAAATACAGACATACAGGAAAAAAAAGAATACCTATAATCCCTATAAATATCATTGATGACATTTTTGAGCACTTATTTCTGGTCTTTTTAGTGTATATAATTTGAGAGGATGTGCTGGTACAACACCCCCTGTTTTAGAGCGTGTTTATTTCTAAGCCATTAGATGTCACTCAATCCCCCTACTTATAATGGCTGTGTAGCATTTTGGTGTAGGGAGATACATACCATCATTTATTCATTGAATACTTTATAGTTGGATATTTATATTGTCTTTCCCCTCTAGATTTTTTGTTATTATGAAGAATACTGTTATAAAGAGTACATCTAAGTCTTGCCACAGATAAATTATTCTTTAAGATCATTTCCTAAGTGGAATTTCTAGGTCAAATAGAGTACATATGGTGAAGACTTTTGATGGGCATTCCCGAAGTGTCCTACAAAGAACCCATCGGTGCACAGTCCCACCAGCTGTGAAGAGCACCCAGTCAACTCATCCCTCCAACAGCTGGAAGTTGTGATTCGTTTCCCAATTGGATAGGAAAAAGGGCTTTTCAGTGTTCTCTCTTTGGTTAATGGTGGGGTTGAATATTTTCATGTATTTTATTGGTCATTTGGATTGTGTGTGTGTGTGTGTAAATTTTCTGCCTCATGGTCCTTGTGTCTGTCTTTTTGATTGAGGTGAATTTCCCCAATTCTTCCATAGACCTAAAGCACTCTAATTCTTGATCCAGTGTCATTATCAGGATCAATCCTTAGCAAATTGTCAAGCTTGCCATCTTTCTTTTTTGTTCTAAGTTACCCCTTTCTTGGCCTTTCCCCTCCTTTTAGCTCATAATCCAACTTCTGCTCTGGTCACATGAAAAGCCAGTGTTCTGCTGTTAGGAGAAGAGCTTCTGAAAATCACTGTTGAGAAAGAATGAATGTAACTCAGTGATTCCTCAATTTTCCATGAGAACTATCCCGGGTAGTGTTTCCTTAAAGTTTCTGAGTTAGGTGCCTGACTGGGCCCTCTGTCCTTACATGGCCTGGAGGGCATTGAGGTTTTTAGTTTTTCCAGGCTAGATTCTGGGAGAAGGAATGAAAAACATGATCCTCAAATAGTCAAGGGACTGCACTGGTAAACAAAAGTTTAAGTTTCTTCTATTTTCACCAGGAATTATATTAATTTGGTGTTTGGAGGTCTTTAATCATCAAAATGGGGGAGATAATTATTTCCTTATTCATGCAAGTTTTCAGGTAAAAATATTTAAAAATATGGGATGAAAGGTATAAAAGAGGAGGAGAGAGGAAAGGGGACATTTCCCGTATATAACCCATGCACCCATCTTTGTTCCCGTCTCTCAACCCCCTGTTGTCCATTTTTCAGAAATGATTTTTAAATTTATTTTTAATTGGAGGATAATTGCTTTACAATGTTGTACTTGTTTCTGCCATACAACATTGTGAATCTGCCATAAGTATACATATATCCCCTCTCTCCTACCCCCCAACCCACTCCTCTAGATTGTCACAAAGTCCCTGGCTGAGCTTCCTGGGTTATACAAGGACGATAGCTATCTATTTTACATATGGTAATATACACGTTTCAATGCTACTCCCTCAATTTGTCCCACCCTCTCCTTTCCCTGCTGGGTCCACAAGTCCCCTCTCTCTGTCTGCATCTCCATTCCTGCCCTGCAAATAGGTTCATCAGTACCATTTTCCTAGATTTCAGATATATTCATTCATACATGATACTTGCTTTTCTCTTTCTGACTTACTTCACTCTGTATTGTAACAGGCTCTAGGTTCATCCACCTTTCAGCTGACTCACATTCATTACTTTTTATGACTGAGTACTATTCTGTTGTATATGTGTACCACAACTTCTTTATCCGTTCATCTGTCGATGGACATCTAGGTTGCTTCCATGTCTTAGCTATCTTAAATAGTGCTACAATGAACATTGGGGTACATGTGTCTTTTTCACTTATGATTTTCTCAGGGTATATAACCCACAGAGGGATTGTTGAATCATACAGTAGTTTTATTCATAGTTTGTTAAGGAATCTCCATACCTGTCTTCCACAGTGGCTATATCCAGTTACATTTCCAGCAACAGTGCAAGAGGATTCCCTTTTCTCCACACTCTCTCCAGCATTTATTGTTTGTAGATTTTTTTTTATAATGCTCATTCTGACTGTTGTGAGGTGATATCTCATTGTAGTTTTGATTTGTATTTCTCTAATAAATAAATAGCATGTTGAGCATCTTTTCATATATTTATTATCCATCTATATGTCTTTGGAGAAATGTCTGTTTAGGTCTTCTGCCCACTTTTTGATTGGGTTGTTTGTTTTACTGGTATTGAGTTGCATGAGCCACTTGTATATTTTGGAAATCAATCCTTTGTTATTTCATTGGCCATTATTGGAGAAGGAAATGGCAACCCACTCCAATGTTCTTGCCTGGAGAATCCCAGGGATGGCAGAGCCTGGTGGGCTGCCATCTATGGGGTTGCACAGAGTCGGACACGACTGAAGTAACTTAGCATGCATGTATGCATGCATTTCCTCCCATTCTGAGTGCTGTCTTTTCACCTTGTTTATAATTTTCTTTGCTGTGCAAAAGCTTTTAAGTTTAATTAGGTCCCACTTGTTTATTTTTGTTTTTATTTTCTTTAGTCTAGGAGATGGGTCATAAAGGATCTTGTGATTTATGTCAAAGAATATTCTGCCTATGTTTTCCTCTAGGAGTTTTGTAGTTTCTGGATTACACTTAGGTCTTTAATCCATTTTGAGTTTATTTTTGTGTATGGTGCTAGGAAGTGTTCTAATTTCATTTTTTTACATGTAGCTGTCCAGTTTTCATGGCTTATTGAAGAAGTTTTCTTTTCTCCGTTGTATATTCTTACCTCCTTTGTCAAAGATAAGGTGCCCGTAAGATGAGGTATGTGGGTTTATCTCTGGGCTTTCTATCTTGCTCCATTGATCTATAGTTCTGTTTTTGTGCCAGTGCCATACTGTCTTGATGACTAGCTTTGTAGTCTGAAGTCAGGATGGTTGATTGCTCTAGCTTCATTTTCTTTCTCAAGATTGCTTTGGCTATTCAGGGTCTTTTGTGTTTTCAAACAAATTGTAAAATTTTTTGTTCTAGTTCTATGAAAAATGCCATTGGTAATTTGATAGGGATTGCACTGAATCTGTAGATTACTTTGGGTAGTATAGTCATTTTTACAATATTGATTCTTCCAATCTAAGAACTGGAGAAGGAAATGGCAACCTACTCCAGTATTCTTGCCTGGAGAATCCCAGGGACAGAGGAGCCTGGTTGGCTGGCATCTATGGGGTCGCACAGAGTTGGACACGACTGAAGCGACTTAGCAGCAGCAGCAGCAGCAATCCAAGAACATGTTGTATCTCTCAATCTATTTGTGTTGTTTTTTATTTCTTTGATCATTGTCTTCTAGTCTTCTGCATACAGGTCTTTCGTCTCCTTAAGTAAACTTATTCCTAGGTATTTTTATTCATTTCGTTGCAATGTTGAATGGGATTGTTTCCTTAATTTCTCTTTTGAGTTTTCATTGTTATTATATAGGGATACAAGGGATTTCTGTGTACTAATTTTGCATCCTTCAACTTTACTAAATTCACTGATTAGCTCTAGGAGTTTTCTGTTGGTATCTTTAGGATTTTTCTATGTATAATATGATGTCATCTACAAACAGTGAAAATTTTACTACTTCTTTTCCAACCTGAATTCCTTTTATTTATTTATTTTTCTTCTTTGATGGT